ATGCTGCAGTAAAAGCCCGGCCTCAGGTAATGAGATCATGTTACACTCAGTCTCTGATTGAAGAGTGAAGGAAACGAGGAGTCTCACTCAGGTGTTCAGTAATGTGGAGGTAATATATTTAAAGAGTCTAACTGCTCAGCTTTCTCTCCTCAGATCGCTGATTAATGGACGCATGAAGAAGAACATCTGTCTGCATGGAACAGGAAGTGTATGAAGGAGGCATGTTAGTATTAGATATTTAAGATTCCAGATCGATGAGGCTCTGACTCCATCAGGAGCAGTAAAATAATCTTATTAACACAACATGCCTTAAATCAAGCCACCTGACCAAAAACTTTGAGAAGTGTGAAGCGCTTAAAGGAAGAATGTGCGACTTTTTGATCCAGTAGATGTCGCCCTTGAGCTCCAGCATGACACCAAAACAAACTGCTGTTTGGCCACGCCTCCTCCACCCTGAAGCCTCCGCTCTCCTCCAGAGACACACCTCCAACCCCTCTCCACTCACGTTCACGCGGAGGAGTTATCAATTAGAACGCTCCATAATTAAACACCAAACGGTGGACAAAATCGTCCTCAGCTCGAGCTGCAATCCCCTGTGTCCTGCATTGTTGTGTTAGCATGCTAATGTTAGCGCTCTTTAGTCAGCTCGCAGCTTCACATTGTTGTGTTAGCATGCTAATGTTAGCGCTCTTTAGTCAGCTCGTAGCTTCATTGTTGTGTTAGCATGCTAATGTTAGCGCTCTTTAGTTAGCTCGTAGCTTCACATTTCATGTAAACTGACACAGAATGAGCGTGATCTAAAAACTCTTACTAACATCCAAATAATCAGTGAGTATGTTCTTCTTCTTCTCTCTAGTTCTTGACTAAAACAGCTTTTATACACAAGGGGAGGAGCCGGCCGTCCCGTCCATGTAAACACAGCTCTGACAACAACACAGCCAGCGGGACTCGAGCTTCTCCCTCATTGTAGACAGTCAGGACTCAGAGACACATTTACACAGGACAGACTGGATTTATGCTAAATGTTTCAAACATCTTCCTTTCCACCACACATTGTGGGGGGGCAAAAGGGGGGTCAGTCAGGTTTAAAGGAGGGTTGGGATGACTCTCAGAGTTCACTGATATTTGACACAACACGTTTTGTCCACAGCTCCTGATAAAAACGATAATCTCTTTATTTACTTATTAAAGGTAGAGGTGAGGTTTAGATGAGCGGCCGTGTGGAGCAGAGTGCCGAGTCAGCATGTTTCATCAGTTCCAGGTTTACAGCAAACATCTACAGAAAGTCTCCAAAGACATCTTTATGTAATTTAGTGGCAGCACTAAAGGTGAAACAGGAAAATAAAAGAAGAGCAGAAGCTGATGTAAACATATTTTATATAGAAGGTTCACAAATATTTAATGAGACATGAATATATTCATGAAGTGTGTTGGTCGTACGGACACAATGTGGTGAGAAATATAAACAACATTTATGTGCTATCTTCTTCTGAGCTCCGAGGTGTACGGACTCTGAGAACTTTAAACCACAGCTCAGGGTCTTTAATAAAGGAGTTACTGAGAGGGTCTCTTTATTTCTTATAAAGTCTTAAAGGGGACATATTATGAAAAATCCACTTTGTGCTTCTGAACATATATTTGGGTAACCTGAGAGTCTACTGACCCACAACATGTGAAATAAACCATCCAGTCCTTTGTTTGTGGTCTGCATAAGTCTTACAACACAGAGAAAAATGCTCTGTTTCAAATGTGCTCTCCTTGTGATGTCACAGTGGGATTCTGGTAAAAAAAAAAAAAAATCCCCTCCCCTCCCCTGGTATCTCCACCCATGGACTCCACCCCCAGCCTAGAACAAAACTTTAGTGCAGGTCCTCCATTTATATTCTCTCTACAGAGGAGTGATGTCTACGGGGAAAACTCGGGGGGGGGGGGTCATTTCATTTAAAGAGACACACACACCAAAACGGAGCGTTCTGAGAGAGCTGGTTTATACAGGGTCACAAACCTCCTCTGGCACTTGATTCATGTTATATTTTGACCAAAGCACAGCACAGATGTTTCATTTAGACCACAGGGGGACTGTTTGAAAAGGTGGAGGAGGACTGTTTGAAAAGGTGGAGGAGGGGGACTGTTTGAAAAGGTGGAGGAGGACTGTTTGAAAAGGTGGAGGAGGACTGTTTGAAAAGGTGGAGGAGGGGGACTGTTTGAAAAGGTGGAGGAGGACTGGTTGAAAAGGTGGAGGAGGGGACTGTTTGAAAAGGTGGAGGAGGACTGTTTGAAAAGGTGGAGGAGGGGACTGTTGGAAAAGGACTTCATAAAAATCCCATTGGAACATTCTCCACGCCTCAACGCTGGTCATGTGACTGAAAGCTATGAGTCAGACCGATTCAACTTTCTTATGACTTAGAGAGGAACAAATACCCCAAACATCAAAACATTCAATTAGTTCAGGCCAATAAGAGTCTCTTCTTCCATTGGAGCAGTCAAAACCCCCACCCATTGGCCGACTTTACCAATGAGCATATGGTTAGGCGATCGTCTGGGGCCCCTCCCCCTCTGTCTGCACGACACAGACTATCCAATGATGCACTGCGTGTTTTAGGAAATTATTGACACTGCCAACACACCTGACCTTGGTTCTGTCACAAAAGACAGAAGGAGTGTGTGTGTGTGTGTGTGTGTGTGTGTGTCTCTAATTAGCTGCACACACGCGCGCGCGCACACGCACACGCGCACACACACACACACACACAAACAGAAAGATAATCTATAATTCAGCACGTGAAGCTGCACCTTTAATAACTAAGTGTATTTACTCACACAGCCTCTTTCTGTTTCCCTGACAGTGTGTGTGTGTGTGTGTGTGTGTGTGTGTGTGTGTGTGTGTGTGTGTGTGTGTGTGTGTGTGTGTGTGTGTGTGTGTAACAGGGAGTGAAGTTATCAGGTGTGAAGGTGGACATTAAATAACAGAAACAATGAAACGTGTTGAATGTGAGGCTCACCTGTGAGTTTGGACTCGACGCTCCTTCATCCTCCTCAGCCGTCACGTTCACCCATGACGCGTCTCAAACTTTACACCTCCACTTCAGACAATCCTCCAAACTGTCGCTCACTCCTCTTCTCTTTGTGATTTATAAAAAGCAAACCGTGATGTGTGCTGCTGAAAACTTCCACATCAACCTCTCCTCCTCCTCTGCCGGGGACAGGACACTGTGGACGGGAGAGAGGACAGAGTCCGCTGTGGACTCGCACATTTCCTCCATCTGAGTCTCTCTCGGTTCGGCTGCTCCCGGAGGACGTCTTCGGCTTTTTCCGGCACATCACGGCGGAGAAGCACGAGCGCCTCGCTTTAGACACACACACACACACACACACACACACACACACACACAGCTGATGGTTGTTTTCTGATGTGTTTGCGGCCCTCAGTGGTCAACTGGGAACATTAATAGTGATATTTATAAAGTCTTGATTATTTCATCTCCATAAGGACTCAGCACTGCAATATTACTGTGTGTGTGTGTGTGTGTGTGTGTGTGTGTGTGTGTGTGTGTGTGTGTGTGTGGTCCTTAATGAGGTTCAGGTTTGTTTTTCTTTCTTTTAATGACTTTAATATTCCTGCAACCTCCACAGAGACACACTGACACACACACACACACACACACACACACACACACACACACACACACACACACGCTGCAGATTATAAAAAAGGGGTTGTTAAAAGTTAGGTGATCTTATAAGCATCAAAAGTAAAACAGATAAATTTCTCTTATGTTACTTTATTGATTTTTTTTTTGATTGATGGGTTCGAGCTCCACATTTAAGTCTTCCTGTTGATATCCGACTGTTTTTAATGAAGAGAGTCATGTATGTGGCTCAGTGGAAGAGTCGAGGTTCGATCCCCAGCTCCTGCAGCCACATGTCCGATGTGTCCTTAAGGTGTTACTCCTGCTGTGTTCTTATTGCTGATTACATTTCCACATTTCCTCCTGCTGTTTTGTGTTTAAGAGCAAACACCTGGGATTAATTCAGTATTTCTAATTCTGATTCATCTGCAACATATTTCCCTGCGGACACTAACCATGAATACCTGATGATGAACCTGGACCAGGATGTTTTTTTTGATTCTCATCATTCACAAACAAAGCTCATAAAGGAGTCTGTGTTTACGTCTGTGGAGGGTCTCAGACATCCAGGTCAGGGTCCACTCGATGCTTCATCCAAAGGCAGTCCAGATGCCTTTGGATCAAGTTAAAGTCTGTGGTTATAGCTCCATCTAGTGGCCAGAATCTGTCTTTGCACCTCATGGTGAACACGTGACAGCTCACAGTAACGCCTCAAGTCTTTAATAAACTATAATGGAAAATAAGACAACAACAAAGTCAGATTAATAAACTCTGAAAGCTCATCCAGAAAATTAAATAGAATACAAATAATTATGTAAGTATATTCAAACAGATGAGATCAGAGGAATCTCTGTAGTCCACACTTCCTCTCCGCTGAGGTCGGAGGTCGGAGCAGGCCGTGTGTGAATGAAAGGACGGCGTGGTAAAGTGACCTCACAGGCTGATTGGTGGAGGCTGGGGGTCAGGGAGGTCAGGGAGGTCGGGTGGTTGAAGTGTCAGATCACCTCGCTGAAGGTTTGGAGAGCAGGTCGATGCGTAAACAAGAATATGGAAATGTAGTGTGAAAAGCAGTGTCTTTCCACACACACACACATGCATACACACACACACACACACACACACACATGCATACACACACACACACACACACACACACACAGACGTCTAAACAAGATGACCTCTGATCTCTAAATGACGAACAAGAGGCTTCACAGCAGAAGTCAAACCGATGGATGACATCACAGAGGCTACTTCTCATCTGATTGATGTTTTTACCGCTAACAGAGTCGTGTTTAAATCATTTATCTGCTCTCAGCTCGCTCCTACGTCAACGCTATCAAACTACAAGACGCTAAATCATTGAAATCTCCTTCAGGGTGACAATTTGTTTGACATTCTTCTCGACCCTGTCATGGCGTTCACTCTCTGTCCTGCAGGGCGGCAGCATTCACAGAAGAAGAGCAGCCTGATGTGGCTGCTGAACTTCTTGTCCCGGGCGCCGTAAATGAGCGGGCTGAGCAGGCGTGGGAGCACGTTGGTCAACAGGTAGCAGCTGAAGATGATGTCGACGGTCTTGTGGGGCCAAACGGTGACCAAAGACAAGATCAGGAAGGGAGAGGTGTACGAGAGCAGGCAGATGAGCAGCTGGACGCCGTGCAGGAGGATGGTGTTGCGGGCGTTTCTGGCCGAGGCCCGGTCAGATCTGGACGCCGCCTGAGCAGCGCAGAGCACCTTCAGGTAGGTGACGACGAGAGTCAGGCAGACGAAGGACAACAGGATGACCTGAGGGGAAGACGTCGAGTCATTTTTAATCTGACGACGAGGGGAGGGGAGGAGAGGAGAGGAGAGGAGAGGAGAGAGGAGGAGAGGAGAGAGGAGGAGAGGAGAGGAGAGAGGAGGGGAGGGAGGGAGAGGAGAGGAGGGGAGAAGAGAGGAGGGGAGGGGAGGGGAGGGGAGGGGAGAGGTTTGGTTTTCAAAATACCTTTTATTTTACCACTACTAGGAGAAATTATAACACTGTCACATCATCACTCAGATCAAGAGAAGGAAATAAATAAATAAAAAAAATAAAACAAAACAAGTGCAACAAAAATCACAACATCAACAAAAACAACATTTACTGCATCAAAAATGAATCAGCTCTCCATCCCCACCCACAGAGCACAAAGCTTCTTCCACAGCCCATACACTATTAAAGTCTTGCACATTGTCCATCATTTGATAATAGGCAAATTCTACCTTTAGTCTGGCCTTCAAAAGTCCCTCCAGAACCAGCACCGGTTCCACACAGCCTACCCTGAGCTCGGTTCTTGCGTGTAAGCCAAATGGCAACTTAGCCGAGCCAGATAAAAAAGTTCATCAGTGTATGTACAGTCTTTTTCTTTGCAGAATACTTTGGCCCAAAAAAACAATGCATAAGAGAAATCCTCTCCCGAGAGCTTCAAACAAGCTTTTCATAAGG